AAATATGTTTTTGAGTAATATGGGTGTTTTTTCTTTCATGATTTGGTATTCGGTATTCGGCTGAATAGTATGCAACATTCAGCCAAATACTGAATATTAAAAAAGTAGCCAAATAGGCCACATACCGAATAGTAGCTGAATATTCGTGGCATCTCTAGTGCACACCTTGTATATATATTATGAAAAATATGTCATTGAATAAATTTGTAATAAATTTCATTTTCAGTTTGATTTTGAAAAATTGATGAAAATTGCTTTTTATAAAAATATTAATTTCTGTAATTAATGACTTTATTAAAAAAATTTATGATTGCAATAATGTCACGAAGAAAAAAATATATACAGTTTTTTTATTTAAATTTTTTCACTATCCTAAGTGTGGCTTAGAATAGAATTGTCACACCCGTCTATTTCAGCTATAGTATTATAACAAATATTTGTTGACTAATTGTAAATTATAAGACAATAAACAGGGTTTTAAGCATAATGTTAGAACTAGAACTACAACTAACTGTTGTAAATCCTAATTGAGTCCCTAAATTTTATTTATTTGTCCAATTCTGATTAATACAACCCCTGGTCAAAAGTATGGCATATTGCAATATGTCATTCAATTCGACTTAAAGCTTCAAAAAACAGACATTAAATAATTAATTCTATTAAGTTAAATTTATTTGCAGTCTTGTGCAAGTAAAAACAGAAAAGAGATGAAAGCAATTATATAAAAAAATTTACGAAACAGCACATTCAACACTTGAGCAACATTAGACAAAAAATTTGGAGTATAGTAATTGCAGAGACATAAGTATGGAATAAAGTAAATTAATACTGCATGGGACTGCCTTTGATCTTTATTACTACTTTAATACATGTGAATGTTGCAATATGTATTTTCACATAGTCTGCAGGTATTTCTTCCCAGCTGGTTTGAATAGCACTCTTCAATTTGGTCAATGAAGCCAGTTTCTTCAAAATATTCCACAAATCTCTATTGGATTTAAATCTGGGCTGTTTGGTGGCCAATCTAAACATGAAATGTGTTTGTTTAGCAACCATTGGCATACTGTATTAACACAGTGGAAAGATGCATTGTCATCTTGATAAAGTCAGTTACCTAAGTGTTCCTCTGCTGTTTTTAGCACAAAATTGTCTAAAATTTCCAAGTAAACCTCTGCATTTACTGTAGTGTTGACAATTTCCAAATGTTCGGGTCCTGCTGAAGTCATGGCATGCTAAACCATAACTCCATTTAGAAATTTTGTTTTTGAAAGAAGGCATTTTGATAGAAACTTCTCATTGGCTTTTCTTCAAATTTTGCTTCCATTGTTATCTCCATATCTCATGCAATTACATGACTTGTTGGTGAACATAACTTCAATGCATCAAATCCCAATTCTGGTAGGCTTTTGCCCACTGCAGACTTAGTTTTTTATGCTTCTCAGTCAGATATGGTTTCTGTTTTGCTTTTCTTGATAAGTAGCTATTGTAAATTTGAAGACAAAATCTGTCCAAAAAAGAAACCACCATTTACTCACTTTTAATGTTCTGGAATACAAACTTTTGACATGGTGGTTCCTTTTTTGACAGACTTTGTCTTCAGATTTATTTTTACATAATTGCCATCCGGCAGAATTCCCAATTGAAATTCATGCAAAGATTTGTCACCAGGGGCTAAAAAGCTACATTTACTGGTGCCTGTTCTCCAGTAGATATAAAGCTCTAACATCCCTAGGTAGTAAGGATGTAATATTGCCAGTTCCAGTTTTTAAATTTGTATTTTTAATTGGATATTTTCTCTGTATTTTTAAAGGACATTTTAATTTTTACAGCCAAGTAGCCTACAAAGAAAGGTTGGTTGTCAAAAGTTTGTATTCCAGAACACTAAAAGTGGATAAATGGTGGTTCCTTTTTTGGACAAACTTTGTCTTCAAATTTATTTTTACATAATTGCAATCCAATGGAATTCTACATACGTACGTACAGTTAGCTTACATGAGCAAGGACAATATAGCAAAACAGCATTGAAAAGCTTGTTAATAGATTAACAAACTTGAGAGCAGCTGCATTTTTAAAAAAAATGGAACTGCCTGTCTAATAGATTAAAAAGATGAATACTTTTATTCATTTTTTATTTAACAAGTAAAAATACTAATTCAACTTAAATGAATACATAGCTAATTTATTTAATTAGTCAGAAGAAAAAAAAAAGAATACTTGCTACCATTTCTTGCGAACTAATTGAAATTTATTCGATTACTTTTTATTTGAATATAAACATCCATTAAAACTAATCAATTAGTTCAATGGAAGAGTCGACTATTAATAGATGAATACCACAAATAACTTGCCATAACTTGAACTTAAATAATCATTAAACGGCACTGTGTCTGTTATTTAAATAGTTGATTAGTGTGATTTTATTCAGTTAGCACAACACTGAAAAGAGTAGTACTATATTTTGAACTCTTGTTCTTCTGATAATATAAAAAAATGAAAAATTATAATAAGCTTTAGAAATTAAAATTTTAGGAAAGTCTATAAGGAATTGTTGTGAGATTTTGGCTGTTTTTACTTTGTCATTGTTTCAAAAATCATGGTTTCTTTAAATAATTGAAATTTGTTTATCATACTCTTCTGTAATCCTATGATGTTCCTTGGAATGCAGAAATTATATGTTACAAAACAACTGTTTTATGTGTAAAAAATAAAACAGGGATCTGACAGACACCTTCATAGTAGTTGTGGACTATCAACATCCATAGTACTTAAGGATTAAGAACATACGTTAAAACAACTTTTAAAAATGATTAACTCAAAGATTTATTAATTATAATTATTAAAATAATTAATAGTAATTCATTCAGTGTTGCTTGTCTGCTGTTTTTGTAGTATTATCTTTAACAACTAGTGTGAAATTGAAGTAAAAAATGCTAACAACTAAAAAAGTGTGAGCAAATTAAAACTATTATTATTTAACATTTAAAGTTCTGATTAAGACTGATGAATGCACGTATGTTGAGGCTGATATTGTAAAAAGACAACTTATAAATGCCTATAAACTCAAAAGATAATGATAACTTTAATTGAATTCTGATTACAATAGGCAAAATTTTATAAGTGTGTTTTAACTTACATATTTCTACAAATTATATATTACATATGCTAATTTTTATAATAAATAAATGATAAGACCCCTTTCACATAATCTGGGTTTGAAACTGTGATCATGTCTAGCTACAGTGCCATATTTAAGCACAGTAGCCAAGTGCGTCTACTCAATGTGACCATGCCATGCATATGATATTTTGAATTAGTTTGGTTTTTGTATTTGGGTGGAGCAGTGATTCATGATGGACCAGTGAAATATACATCTATCTACATTTATTATATAAATGAAATATAGTCAAATAGTTTTCTATGTATATCTGATAAATATTGAAAGAAGTTTGGTGGGGCATTTTTATATTATTTAATAAGACAAGACAGGATGATTCTAAATTTTTCAATTACTTTTGTAAATGCATGTCTGCATCAATATTTGACCAATTATGAAGTCATTTGTACAATACAGTACTTCACTCATGAGAAACTTGGAGCCCTTGAGGTTTTAATATGTGATTCTCAGGAGTTTTGTAATGCACTTTTATTTTCCCATTTACTGCCTTGTTATTCCACCCTAATTTAGCTGATATTACTCATAGTGACAAAGACCATTCAAACTAAATTTGACTAGTAAAAAATGAGAATAAATTATGTATTACTAGTTTTCATACTATTAGCATATATTAGTATGTAGTGTACTGGGCTTATGGAGTATGTTGGTGCTTGACAGGCTTAAAGCCTGCGACTCTAATAAAAAATATATGCAGCCTATCAAAAACCTGTGAAATTCACTTGCAGCCCACATCCAGAAAAGGTTGCAACCCCTACCTTACTTGGACAAAAATTCTAAATCAGAAATCAGTTCTACTGATTTACTGTTAAATTTCAAGATTTATATTCTTTTAAACTTTCATCCCACAAAACAAATCTTTCTTGAACTAAATTTATTCATAATCCAACATCCACTTCCTAATCTTTCATTTTAATTAAAAGAAAATTTAAGTTTAATGTCTCTTGTATGATATTGCTGTTCAGTATAAGTCCTCTATGTGCAAATTCCTTGGTGTAGCAAGACATCTGTTATCATGTTGTTGACATGATAACAGATTCTATTGTATCAATAAAATAAAAACATTTCTGTGAATGAAGCTATTCATTTACTTATAAATGATAACAGTTGTATTTGAGTATTTATTTGTTTGATGTTTGTACATTATTGCTGAAATGAAAACTGAAACAGAAATGAAAGTTGTTTTTCCGCTATTACAATGATTTAAGTACGTACTTGTCCTTTATTTGGTTTTAGAAACTTTTCTGAATTTGGAATTTGATAAGTTTTTATCTACTAAACTTAAATATTTTACTTCTAACAATAGAATAATAAATTGTACATCAGATGCTTACACATGAAAATTGTTTTGCAATAATTACAGAACATTTTCCATGCTAGATATTGGGTGGTATCAATAAAGGATATTAAGTGCACAACTTGATTTTGAATTTGTTTGGAGATAGAACCTTTGCCTTGGAGTAGATTTATCATAGCATGTAGCTAATATACATTGATGTTTTAGTTATTAAAAAGCAAACATCTTTAGAACTGTTTATCTATGTAATTTTACTGCTGCTATTTTAAACTTTTTAATACAATTTAAAAATTGTATATCATGTTTTATCATTTAGTTTATTAATACTGTTATGTAATCAACGAAGATTCTGTTTTTAAATTCATTAGTTTGTATTAAGTTTTAATAATAATGAAAATAATTTTCATTTCTTTCTTTCTTGCTTTAAATAAAAAGAATTAGAACCTGAAATTGAGAATTCTGAAGAGGAAAAAGAAAGGGTAAGTCAGTCTCTGTAGGTATATTTTAATTATATAGATTTTAATATATTATAATTTAGAATTAGATACAATTATACAAAATAATAATTTGTTTGGCTATAATATGTATATAATTTACTTCATACCAACACTTTCTTGCTGTGTATATATTTATATATTACGGTTTCCATATACCATGGTGATCTCAGGCATAAGATTTTTATTAACATTTTTGAGGGGGAAACAAAAAAAAAATAGAAATTAAGGCAAGAAACCATTTATTTGATGGTTCATTCCTCTCCCATATTAACACGTCTTTATAAATATTGCTATCCAAGAGTCAACTACAGTATGGCTCCGTGTCTGAGCTGACGTTCGGTGAGTGACATCTGCTAATAACAAGAAGACATTTATCAGGTATGTAATGTGTGTATTTTGCTGGTGACAGACAATAATTTTTTAGAATTTAATATGTATATAACTTTTAGTGCATGTTAGGATTTTTGTAATATTAAATAGCAATTTTAAATTTTATTAAATTAAAATTTACTTTACTTATTCTAATGATAATTTTTATTAGAATAAATCAAAAATATAGAAAAAACTTTAAATGGAAATTTTATGTATTAAATATTTAAGTTTTTAACTTTAATTGTGTAAGTTTTTTAAATTACTTGATAGGTTAAGGAAAACATTTCTAACATTTTTTTAATGTTTTCAAATTTTTTTCATTTTTGTCAAAGTAAACTTTCTGATTGCATTCATTTGTACATTGAAATTATTTTCATTATTCATTGAAATTATTAATTTTTATATATATATATTATTTTAACTGAGTTAAAAAAACTTATATTAAATTTTCTTTTCCTAAAGAGAAGCCTAAAATTAATTATTTAAAATTTTAATTAATACAAATGAAATAATCAATGGAAGGAAATTTCACTTGTCATAAAGTAAGTTGATTATTATTGTCTAGGGTAATTTAGATTTTTTACTTTTTATACAGATTGTATTGCAGTTAGATAGCAAAAATTAACTGGTCAATATTAAAATAAAATTTTATCATACAAAATAAATTTCATATATGATGATTTTTGTAGAAATACTTAATTAGATTTTAGACTTCAATTTCATGAATTTTTTGTTTCTGTCTTTGGGAGAGATGATAAAAATATACAACATGCAGGTAAAGTAAATTTCAAGATACTTAAAATATAAAAGTTAGCTTATCATCTTGGTGAATTTATATAACCATGAACAGCTGGAATTATAGAGAAAATTAAAATTTGATATCCATAAATACATAAGAATTTTAATTTTTTTTATATATTGTTTGCTGAATGTTATACGACTTGCTATTATATTTAAGTAGTTATTTTAAATTATGAGTTTGGATTAATAGTTTAAAACATTACTAAAATGTATATATGTGTGAGTATATATATTTATCTATATTTGTTTATTAAAATTACTTAGGTATAAATATAACACTTTATATAAATTAATTTAATTTATTTATACGATTCATGAAATAGTCAAACTTCATTATTACATTATTGGTTTTTGCAAAGTCTGTGTTAATACAAAGTAATTTGCAGTATATAGAACTAATACTGGATAAATCTAAGTATAACAGATACAAAAAAATAAAAATAATAAAAATCCAGCATAAGAAACAAATTTAATGAGAATGTTTTTGACAGCTCTTAGCAATCATTGTCAGATTACAAACTATTCTAAGAAGGAGCATAAAAATCAAATAACAAAATTTTTTAAAATATGGATGTGGCATCTGATTGGTTAGTAAGTAGATTTTCAGTCCCGTGGACGAGAAGATGAGTATTTTTATGTTAACAACTTTGGTTAATACAAATTTTGTAATACAACAGCCAGTTTTTAAGTCCCTTAAAGGGTTTGACTGTAGTTTAAATTATCTTAAGAACCATATAATATAGTTCCTTATGATATATTTAATTCAGTGTTGAATCAATTTCTGAAATGTTCTTTAATGTTACTATTGATGATATTACATTAATTAGGATATTTTTAAAAATTAGTCTTAAGGTTTGAAGCCTAATAACCTAGTGTTACAGGAGTTATTAGGCTTCATGTTTGAAGCCTAATAACTCCTGTGCTTTTGAAAATTTCTGAAATTTTGCAGAAAGGTTTGTGTATTAGAAAGATTTGTGCTATTAAATTTTGGTGGTTTAAGGTTGACAGGGTAGAGAGATAGGTGTTATGTGTCATATCTTGAGTAGGGTTGGATTTATGATGATTTTACTCATTATTAGCATTTACAATTTTTTATAAAGCCCATCCCTACTCTCAAAATTAAGCTTTTTGCCATTTTGTAATAATTTAAAATGTAAACAATTTTTTTAAAATGGAATATCGTAACATATAGTACCATCAGAATTTTAAAGGTTGTTTTGAAAGTTATGCAATTTGTTGCTGAATTTTTTTACATTTAAGTGGATCACATTACATTTCTGGATTCTTTGTCTCAAGTAATGGAAAATGGCAAAGTTTTATTAAAATCAATTCATTAAAGTTTGAGAACGAACTTGATTCTATAAGCCCGTAGATGTGCTAGCGATTCGTGCTATATAGCTTTTTTGTGCATGCTCGTGAAATGACCTTATATCTCAAACATGAATTCACAGACTCCAATTTTTTATTGCATTTTGAATTCTGCATCGAAATTAGTGAAAAATGGCAAAGTTTAATCAAAATCTATCAAACAGATTTTGAGAATGAACACAATTCTCTAAACCTCATAAAAGCTTTGCTAATAACTCCACTTCATTAAATACTTAATATTTAATGTACAGAAAAAATAACCAAAAATTGTCTAACACTATGAGCTAATTAGAAATTATTGTGAATACATTAGATTTTTTTAAATATTCATAATTAAATTAATATTTAATTCTAATGTTGAAAGACTAATAAATTTATATGTCTAAATTTAATGAAAAATATGAACTTTAATTTTATTTTACTTTGTGACAAGAAAATAATTTCCTTTTTCTGAAATTAATAATTTAATGACTGCATTACAATTGTTGCACTTTTATTTTCTAGTAATAATATTGGAATATTGTATAAACATTTCACATATCAAAATTTATTTGGTATATATTTAAAAATTGCTGAAATTTCACTTTTATTTTATATATCTGAAATTTTTAGATTTATAAATAATATTCTGATATGAAATTTATCCAAATTGTCATTGTAAGATTTTATTTACTGTTATAATGAACAATATAAAGCAGGTGTTTCATTTAGAAACATTAATTTATTGATGATGATAAAAATATTTAAATAAAAAGTATCTAGAAAATTTAAAAAAGATAATACATTAATTTTACAAAGAATAGGATTGATTATAACATTTACATCAATTATTTGAAATTTAATAATTTAAATATTTAGAAATGTTTAAGTTTCTAAATATATTAAACCCCTGCTAGCTCAGACTAATAGGAGGTGAAGGTTGTTCGAGTTTACAAAAGTCTGAGTTAGCAGTGTGTTTTGTCTGACAACATAGAAAGTAAGAAGGTAGATATACAGTACAGTAAATTATTAAAACCAGCTCAATATAGAAATTTTACATAACTTTAGTAGGTTATGCTGCCAAATTTATTATTACAGGAAATTGAGCTCAAAAAATTTCATGACACTACACTATACATCAATATATAGTCTTTAGTAACTTACCAACTACAGTAATATAATGCACAATATTGCAAAGACTTCTGGATATCAAAAATACTCAAATATCAAAAGTGTAATTTTCTATTGTTAAGAAATTGTAAATTATTGTACAATCTTTTGAAAACATTTGTCCAAGCTAATGGAGGTTTAGTGTAATTGAATTGACAACTAAACTTTGTTACTCTAAAAATTTTTCTAAAATTAAAGAATTGTATTTGGTAATTGTGTCATATTGAAGTCTTGCGCTTCATTGTATTTTTTTGATATTGTGTGAAAATTTTTTTTTTTTGTCAGTAAATGTGCTGAAATCTTTTAAGGTAATTGTAAAGACAGACACATGTAGTAATAAAGTTTGATATCTAGTTTTATAATTTCAAACTTTAAAAACTGGAAGATTAAATTCATTTGTTATTGGTTTTACGTATTATAATTTGCTAAGGTCAACCTTAGCAAATTTGCTGTATAAATTACATACAAGATTCTCATTTATTTGATTATCTACTAATCTTTGATGAAAACTACAGTTGATTAAACATTGAAATTACTCAATATTTACAGACAGTAGTTAGTATAATTTTATTACAATTTTTTTTTTCTTTTTCATTGTAATGATGAATTTATATTCTCTTAGTTGTAATGCTGCAGACTATAATGAAGGCTCAGTTACTGGAGTTTTCCACAGTCATAGTTTAGACTTCCAAAAATTGAAGGTAAATAAGTGATCAATGATTTTTAACAGATTTATTAATTAAACTTATTTTTTAATAATCTGTGACTAATCACACACTTTATAAAAGAAAAGTAATTAAACCAATTAAAGAATAATGAATCAAACTGGAAATTATATATTTCAAAATATAGATTTTAAAAATCTGAATATAAACAGAAAAATGTCTTATATAAATTATTTTCAAGAGCAAGTGATGATTACTATATTTTAAAATTATTACTTATTTAAATTCTGAAAAATAATTAAATTCTAAAATTAATATATGAAAAATATTATAAATGACAGAATACAAAAAAACTGTATATTAAAATATTTGATATTTCCTAATTTATAATTAATTGTTATAACAGAAATTAAAATAGTAAAATTTTAAAATTAAACAATATACTTAATTTTTTTCTTGTAAGTGAAGAAATAAAATGGAATCTTGAATTTTCATAAAAAGAAATTGTAATCGATAATATCTTGTACCGTCTGGATTCATGTAAGTTAATGATTATAGCATTTATTTTTTAATTAAATTATGAAAATAAATTACATACCTTTTTTAAAGTATATATACAACTCAGAATAATTGTTAATGTTTCACATTTTGTAAATTTAATTATTGTTTAAAAAATTTAATTACTTTTATTGAAAGTAAGTTGTGTCAAAATATTTGAAATTGGTGAAATTGCAAGTAATTAAATGGTTTGTTAGGAAAAACAGAAAGAATAAATTTTTTTTTATCATTTTAGAATGATTAAGAATCATAACAAAATTAAAAGTAATCATATTAAATATGAGCTGAAAGCTTTTATGTATTGAATTAATTTAATTTAAATGAAGCAACAATTATTATGCAATCATTAAATTATTCATATAAATTACCTTTCAAATAATTTTTAAAAAGAATAAAAACTAATTTTTTAAATTTAATTTATTCTACTCTGACTCCTAAATATTCAAACTAATAACAGAATTGCTTTATTCAAAGAAGTTGCACATCATTACACTGTGCATGTTCATAACCAAGTGCTTTTGGAGCTGTATTTGTTTTTTTTTTTTATTTGTGTTTATTTGAATGTTCCATTTTGATTTTTGTGATTTGATACTAGAACTGGTACTAAGTGAAATTACAAAGGATGTTTTTAAAGTGTATTGAGCCTGAGGATGGATCATAGCTCTGAAAGTGCTTGGTTTTTAGCATATATAGTCTGATAATGTGCAAAATCTCTAAATAAAGCAGATCTGTTGTTAGTTTATTTATTTGAAATATTCATATCCATACGAAATATAGAATTATTTTTGTTGAAAAATAATACATCACTAAGACAAGTTAGCAGTATTTTAGCAATGTTTGTTTTATGAATAATTAAAATAGTTTTGAAAAATTAACAAATGTAATCAGAAAGTTATTAAATCTATAGATTTACAATTTGCCAATTATGGTTGTTTTTATCAGATATAACAAATAATTTCATTTTAAATGAGAACTATAATGATTTTTGACTTGAAAAAAAAATATATCAGTTATTTTTAATAATTGTAATGAGTTAAATACTGAGTACAAATTCCTGCAATGATGATTTTTTTAATAAAAAATATTTGAGTATTTATTTATATGTTAAAATATTTTAAATAACAATTTCAGAGTATAATTAAAATACAAAAACTTTATTTTCAAATGAACTTTAATTAGGAAAGTAAAATTTGTGGGCATTTATGTTTTTATTCATATAAATTGAAAATTTGTTTTCAGTTTTAAGTATGAAATGTTTATTTGTAAAATAGCTATTTCCAATTTATTGATATTTAAATAATGCTATTCTATTTTTGAGTATTTTTTAAATAGAATTTTGCATATCATCATTATTTGCTAATATATATAATTGCATGATTTTTGCCATAAACAGAGGAATTATTGTATATTTAACCCATTGGCTTAACTAACATTTAGTTACTGTTAAGTTTAATATTAGCTATTCACTTATCTCTTATGATAAACAAGTTCTCAACTGATACGTAGTGCATTGAAATAGAAGTAAGAAGTTTTCTTGTATTATTATTGGCAGTTAATTGCTATATAGCTTGCTTTCTATCATTTACTTCGTCATATGTTAATAAATTAATACTGTTTTGTTGACTAGCAGCATTAGTTTCCAAAGTTTTATATTATTAACTCATATACAAATTAAGATGAATTATATAACAAAATTATTAAGGAATTTAGAAAAAAATCACATTATTTACAGTAATTAAAATTTTGTTTTTATAGTTATAAATAGTAAGCCAATAGGTTAATATATTTTTGGTTGATGATTTAGGTTCATAAGATGAATGAATGGCCAGAATATTGATAGCAGTTGATCCCATAATTTCTTAATCACTGGTAAGTATGAAATCAGTATTGTTATCACTCTTCTTGTGTATTGTAACTTTAATTTGAATATTCTGTCTTTTCTATGAATCTTAATATTGTCAATATTAATTTTTACTTAATCAAATTTCAAAAAATTGGCAATGTTATATTCTATTGATCTTTTCCTATTTCTACTATAAAATACTTTTCAATACTCACAGTTTTAATTATTTTATTTTATATATTTAATCAATTGCATCTAAATTAGTTTTTATTGTGGATATTTATTTAAATACAGGCATACCTTGCTAGCATGGTAGGTTAGTTTCTAAACCACCACTTTAAAGTGAATATTACCTTAAAGCAAATCACAGTCTTTTTCCACTTGTTAATGGATACAGAAGCCTAAAAACATATTTACACTATCATTTATTAAGTTATAATAGTATTAGGCCTAAAAAGCAATCCAAAAGTAAAAATAATAATAAATAAAAAGTCAAAACTCTCTTAATAGTAAGGTAGATACCAAAAATAAACATATATCATTTTTCATCTGCCAAGTGTTTAAAAAGTGTCACTACATTGTGTCTCTGAAAAGTAACAAGAAAATAAACAACAAGGTTTCATTGGAATAAAAATATATATCAATTGAGAAGTAATATATTACTGAACTGCCTTGAAATAGATATGCCTGTAGCCTTTTTAGAAAGCGATGCTAATTTGACTTTGTTTTAATAGTTGATTTGACATATACTTTGACTGTTTAATAGAAAGCTTTTATAATAATAATCAACTTTTTATTTTAATAAAATTGTAATGAATCAAATGTTTTTAAATGCACAATCCATCATCTCAAGTAATTTATACTTAAAAAGTTGATTATTATGGTATTGAATAGTTACAATATTTGTCTTCTATGCTTAATGAAGAACTTTTTGATAACATTAAATTATGGAATCAACTGAAATGCTGTTCATTTATTTAAACAGTGTAAAATATGAACAAAATTACTGCATTCTATAATTCCTCTGATTATTATAACAATGATGTAATGCTTAAATAGTTTTTTAATTTAATTATTTTTATAAACTAATTAAACAAGATATAATGAATTTAACAAATATAGATTTTATTTTTTTTTTACTGAGTATTTCCTGTAAAATTTTTATAATAATATATTCTAAAAATTTAAGTTACAATATATTCTAATATGAAAAACTATTGCAAAAGATTGATATTCATCAAATTATTCATTTAATATTTATTACATTTAGACCATTTCATGGTCTTCAATTGATTTTCTCCTTAAAATACAAATAATTTTTTCATTATACAGTAGGTATGCTTATTGTAATTGCTGATATCATTGTTGGTCATCTAATATCCGTCCCAAAACATATTAAATTAAATAACATTAAAAATACAGTAGAGCCTCGAAAATTCAGCACTCGATAACCCGGAACTCCGGATAACTCGGCCATATCTTGGCAGGGCAAAAAATCCTTAGTTAATTAATTTTCATTATAGACAGCTTTATAAAAGTATAAAAGCTCTCATAAAAGGCTCTATGCCTTCATAAAGAACGTACTTTTTATTTGTTTAAGGGTATTTGGGCAGTTTATTCTCTATTGTATTCTCAAGCGAACAATACATACAAGTACAATACAATATTTTCTGAGGAAACACGCATACTTATCCTTTTTTAACCCCATTTCCGATAACCCGGCATTTTCACAAACTCGCCCACCCTTCGGTCCACATTAGGCTGAGTTTTCGAGGCTCTACTGTACTTTATTCTTTATTCAATGCAACAAAATAAAGAGTAAAAAGTGTCAACGCCTTATTGAAATCAGAAATTTGTTTCTAATTATCATTATATTACTAATAATAAATTTGAATTTACTTAGATGGTTAATAATAGAACAGATGATAATGGCTATAAACCATGTTTTTTCCAATAAAACACTAGTGCAGCAGTTAGAATCAATTTAAATTACTGTATTTGCCAGCCTATAAGATACACCCCATTTTCAAATAGTATATTTTGGAGAAAAAGTGCATCTTATACACTGGCAAATATGGTAAATCATCCAATCATTTAAAATGTCTACTCATAATATGTTAAACATTTGTTTTAATCTTGCACTCAATACTGTATAGAGTATTATAGTTTAAAATTTCAATTTCTGAAATTTATTACTTCATTTATAGACTAGCTGTTTTCTGTTGTAGAAGACTGTTATTTTCATGCCCATTTAATTAAAATACAGTAATATACTGTATCTTTTAGTGTACTGAAAGAAGCAAATAAGAAATGCAAAGATATGTCCCTCAAAGATAAACTTGAAATTTTAGAATGCTATAGTAAGTTGCAAAAAATGAATCAATCCAAAGCAGCTGCACAGTTAAGTTTCACAACCAGTTGTTGTCAAGATTTTGAACAATAGAGTAACTATTGATATGTTGGCAGGAGAAATGAGAATATGGTTTTCATGAGATACTGAACTAGAAAAAATATAATAAAATAGAGTTAGCTTTGAAAGTTTGGTTTAGTAATGTTTGTAGGAAAAATGCATGTTAATGGACCATATCAGAAAGCAGAGGAATTAATTTAAAATATGGAAAAAAAAAAGATTTTTATTGTAATCAATGGGTGGGTTCAACTAGTAGGAGAAAATGAGAGAACATTGTGTACAGATGCACTCAGGGTTATGTATGTGACAGTTCAAGATATTTAAATTTGCATGTTGTAAGTAGATCTTTTCTTTGAAAACATTTTGTGATTTTCTTGTTGTTGTTATTATTAATAACTGTGTTAGAAAAATAGAAGAGGGAATCAATGAAAGATAAAAGAATTCTTGAAGGAGTTGACAGTCAATAATGTTTTGGGGCTCTCAATCTAGATCTCCAACAAATGCTCAGATGCAAGAAGCTTTGTGAGTACTTTGTTGTTGAGTGATGTCATTGTACAATGTACAGTACAATGACATGTACTGTACATTGAGTTTTGAAAACATTACGAATGTAACATTTTATTAATGAAATATTGCCAAAAAAATAGCCTGCAAATAATGTTGGATGAATGAATCAAGTAATTACTGTTATAATTAAGAACTTTTAAAGTTAACTGTTAAATTTACTTTAAACATTTTTTATTTTAACATGCTTTTAATTTATCTGACTCCATAAAACTAAAATTTTTACTAATTGTGGTTTAATTACTTTCACAACATAATGTTATCACTTAGTTTATTGTTATCAGTTCAGTGTAGGTTAATTTCAAAGTGATTACAATAAGCAGCACTTATTGTATTTTAAAACATTCACATAATAATCTTAATTTTACAAATCTTTAATAACAGAATTTGAAGAGGAGCTCACAACTCTAAGTTCTTGTTTTTCCCTGAGGATTATACAGAATAATTACCATAATATATATTTGTTTATTATACAGTTATAATTTAATAACTTAATTATAATATAATTATTTGATGAAAAATTTTATTAGCGTGTTCTTTTCTTATTTTTATTGTTTCAAAATTTTATACCTACTAAATAAGTTATTGCTTCCTTATTCCAATATTGACAATTATTATTGTATCAGTTGATACATTCTGACTCTTTTTTAAGTATTTAAAACCTCAAACACAACTTTACACTATTTGAAAACACCTGATGATTATTCTTCACAAACATTTTTAAAGACATTCTTTCATCCTCAAATGGTACATAGTTCTAAATCATTCTTATATTATTGTGTAATCTGAATTATCTCTGTTCTCTTTCATTTAGTCTGGCAAAGGATTTCATGTAAGTTGTCAAGTATTTTTTGTTTTATATTTAAGAACACTAAAAATAATTTAGGAGTCAGTAGTAAATTGTTCACAATGTATTTGTCAGTTTAAGATACTGAATATTGTATTTAAGATAATTTTTTCAAAAACTATCCATTGGATCAAATTTTAAACATTTTCAACTTAAATTCTTTCCTTTAGTTAAATTTTTTCATGTCATACAGAAATGTAAATAACATATTTATGTATGTATATATAAGGAGTGTTCCATTTAAAGCCAGCCTACTTACATAATGAAATCAAGAAATTTTTTTAAACTTTTTGAAGGGATCTCATTTTTGATATTATCTTACAGAAAATGTCAGAAATGAGATCCCTGTGAATTAGTGCATTTTACAGGCAGAGTTTAAGGATCAAATCCTCACACTTTAGTTGAAGTGAGAGAGAATGTTTGAAACACTGAAGTTTTGTAAGGTATATTTGAATACATACACAAAAATGTGTTGATTCAGAGAGATCTCATTACCCTGTAAAATAATATATTTTATCTACCAAAAATAAAAAATTCTTTCATAACTTTTGCTTTGCAAGTTGGAGCCATTTTTAAATGGAAAGTCCTATCATTTATCAGTAATAAATTTCTCAAAATTTATTTTTATATTAAGTAATATTCATATCCAGCCATATTTTGTAAAGAAACTCCTGTAAAATGTTTTTTTTAAAAAGCTTTGTAGGGTTTCAATTCTTTATAAACAGATTCACAATGAATTATAAAAATATTTTTTCTTGGCTTTTTAATATTCTGCTTTGCTCAAATCTAGTCAACTGTTAAAACCTAGAACTCAAAAGATTGTTCCTGTTATGATTAAACACCCTAGAGATAGTGTGTAGAAGCAGCAGCATTCTATTAACTTTATATAGTATACCTTTACTTATAAAATTTAATTGTTCTGAAGAACTTATTAAATGAGCCATTTTATTTCCCATAAATTAAGTCATAACTTGAAATATATTTCTGAAGGGAAAAAAAACAATAATAATAATAATTGAAGTAAAAAATATGTCAAAATACAATATATAAAAATAATAATAAAAAATTTATACCTGACGTAAAGCAGTGTCTAATGTATGTTATCAAGAAATGTTTGAAATTAGAATTTGCTTTGTGTAATTATTAAATATTAATATTTTTTAATTTAGTAGAAAAACATAAATGATGATATAGTTCTTTCCTAA